AGAGAGTAACGAGTCCTCGAGTAGAGAGAAGCTCAAGCTAGAACCAGCCAGAGGCATTTATAAAGACAACTAAAACTCCGTACTGGTATTAAAATTTTAATTATATATTATATGATAATGGATATTGTATTAGTCTTATTTAGTTAGTTGAGTAACAACATATTTGATTCTTATAAAAATATCATCCTCTATTACGTCTTACATTTAATTAGTATTACATAAACAAAACTTTTGGTATTCGGAATATTTATGTGAGATATTACACTCAAAAGCAATACACGTAAAACCTGAATAAAAACTTGAGATACATATCTGCTAGAAATTCTTAAAATCAGCAATATTAGAAACTAAAAAATTGGACATTAATTGGAAATTAATATATTTATTCCTCTTTAAATTGACCATCAGTATTTTTGACTTTAAAACGTTGATAGTCATTTACATTCATATACGCGCATACGTACTTACAAATACTACATTTCATAGTTTCAGTACGTACATTTTTATAGTTTCCATATAACAGTTAACCACTCCTTACACTTCTTTCATTATAAAATTTTGAATATTACTTTTCAAGTGATATATTTTTACTTACTGCAATCTTCTTCTCCCAGTGGATTATAGGGCCTCATGATATATTTTTACTACACTGGAACTAATCTTAAGAGAAACATAATCGTTATTCATTTGTTATAATAATCATAAATTTACTATTTTATTTTCGTACTATGCGGTGATGGATTACACACTTGATGAAAGTATATAGCGCTATTAAGAAAATATATATTTTATGTACGCGTACATCTGAAGTACTTTTACTGTCGTCGATTTAAAGATTTTATTGTATTTAAATGTGGTAGTTCAAAACTCTTGAAGGAAGCGAGTCAATGAAGAAAACTGTTAGCAAATTAAAAGTAGATTTAAACAAAAAAAAATTGCAAACAAAAGAGAATTAAAATTTTATTAGAACATAAAAAAGTTGTTGAAGAAAAATTTATGAATCGAATAAATTTGAATCGTAAATATAAAATCACAAGAAATAAAAGGAATCACCAATTAAATGCAACACAGTTTGAAGCTTCCAGGCAAGACAAAATCTCAAGACTAAAGTCAGAGCGAAGGTATCATTAACGACAATTAATTGCCAGTAAGACAGTAAGACATTGTAATGAGAAGTAGTGCCTCAATCTGCAACAAAGTAATTCGATGTTCAAAGAGTTTCAGGAAAATTGAGTCTAAAGGACATTTACAAATAAAATTAAATTGCTGCTTTAACTGCTAGGCAATGAGATACACTGTTCCCTTAATTTACTACAAAGTATGGTATTCATGCGGATTACGGTATAGAAGGTATGCTCTAAACTGACTACAAGCGCCCATAGCTCAACCACAGTTCTTCGGTTATAACGCAGTTTCTTTGTGAAACTATGGCGAGTGTGGTTAGGTCTTTGTGTAGCACTAACATTTGTTGTTGTAGTCAACAGAGAAATGTACAGGTAGAGACTATTTAATAAAAATGCTCATATTTCAGAATGAAGTTGTTGTGCCATGGATGGCGGGCGCATGCTTTTAACCATAAATAAAGCGTCTTTAAGTCTTATGAGTGGAGTTGGTGTGTTGGTTGTTGCAATAAATGGCATTTCTGTGGCGCTCACCATGAAGCCATCCATCGTTTCATGCGATATTTACGCAGTGCTCTGATGACGTTGCTCAAAAAGGAGATGATAGCATACTCGAAACATATTTCGCAATGACTTTAAGCTTCCTTCAATTGCTTAAATGGCGCATTATAATTACACCTGCCAGCGGATACAACATGAAATACT